TCTCTCTCTCTCTCTCTTTTTCTCTTCCTCTCTCGTCCCTTCCTCACTCTCTCTCTCTTTCCCCCGACTCTTCTCTTTATATTCTCGCCATTTTAATGATCCAAATACCAGCGAAATGTTTTCATATTAATTTCATTATGTTGATAATTCTAATAACCTTCGGTTCGGCTAGAATTTTACGCTTTGGAATTGTGACTGTATGGAGACTACGAATGTTGTTTCCAATTATGCGAGATATAATTGCAACTCCTTTTCCTTTATTTTTCCTCATCCTCGCGAGTCGTGGAACGAAAAACTTGGGAAAGTACAGGGTGGTAATTGTGAACACGAATTCGGTTGACGGATGGATCATTTTGGCGAACGCAGGTATGGGGAAGATGAGACGGAGGGGATTTATAAAAATTCGTATATTCGTTATTCTCCCTCTGAGCTACTTTTTTGTTTTCTATCTTTTGTAGTTGCGAGGCATGATGCATTTGATGAAAACGTAGCGGCATGTGTATTATGTGCTTTCGATATATCTATTTATCATTTGTCTACCACCCGTATGTGCAACAACCCTATGGATATTACGCGGATCTCTATTGTAGCTACGTGTGCTATATAATGCATTATTTTTTTTTTTTTTTTTAATCTTCATATGTGATATGAAATTTCGCTGAGTGTCAGTTGGTTAAAATGAGTAGTGGAAAAAGTGATCCTTTATTATGATTATATTTTTAGCAAATTATTCGTTTATGAGATAATACCGAAGTATGTTGTATATGCTGTTACTGTACAAAATAATATTTGTATTTTTTATTTTAACGATGAAATAAACGTTATGTTTTTCTATGTTCGTTTCTTCTGTTTAGAAAAATATTTTTCAAATTCGTTATAAAGATATATATTTACCTTCTGTCTACTTTTCTTAAAGCTATTTGGTTTCCAATTTTAAGACTATAATTAAGATTTTGAGACTATAAAAATTATATTTAACGATAAAAATAATGATTCACTTAATTTTTGTGAATTTTTAACGAATATGTCATTTATATTACTTTAAGATCTACGAGATAGTTTTTATATAATTTGATTAATCCTTATTTTAGGGAAAAGGTTCAAGGAAAACTGAAAAGCATTTGAAATTAACTAAAAGTTGAAATTCAAAAAATGAATATTAGAAACAAGAATTATTATAAATCGTTAATATTGTTTTTATCGCTCTTTGTACAATAAAAATTTGATTTTTGCATTTAGTATAATTATCTTTCACCTGTTATGTTTCTCCTGATGCTTTTTCAAAACTATGGTTTCCAAATATTACAGTGCGTTTTCAGTCGATCAGATAAAATAAAATAATTGTGAAAATTGATTCATTTTTGTAAAGAGAAAGATTTATGAATAGTTTATAAATAGTTTATAAAAATCAATAGAAATAAATAGTATATTTATCAACAAATTTGATAAAACTTTTACTATATTTGCTCATATTAGATTCTTTTTGCATTAGAACTTTAGAAAATCTTGAAATATTTGGTTATTTGGTCAAACTTAAATGTTAAATTTCAACCATTAAAATAATGTATCATCTCCATTCTTTTGTTACTAATTAAATATTTAAATAACATTCGAGTATAAATATCTTATAGTAGATGATAAGAATTACCCACGTTTTTTAATTTTGGTACACAATGTATTGTACTTCATCTAGGGACATTTAGAAAATATTCTAGTCATAGGGGAATTCTTTTCATTTAAATAGCGCCAATTCGGGATTAAGCAAAATGCACGTAATATTGCATTCAATGTCTGGATATTTGTTTTCTGTTGAAAATAGCAATGTAAACGTTAGGTTCCATTTATTTTCAAAAATATTATGCTAATAATAATTACCGTTTTGGTAATTATACACATATTATTACACGTGTATATTTACGTTACATCTATATGATTTGTACATTATAGGTATAAAGTACATTATGTTCAATGCACGAATGTATGGGCTTAATGTTGGAAAATTTGGGACAGGTTGTCAAGCAAAAAGGGGATCTTGGAGTTCATTTATTGGACAGAATGTTAACGCCCAGGACCGCCCCTATGATACAACCAATTAGCTTTTATTAATTTACCCTTCGTTTCTCTCTCCCCCTCTCTCCGACTACCGTACTGTACTACTGTATGTATAAATTTTTACTTTCTTTCAGTTATTTTTTAACGAAGATTTAATGTACGTGCAAAGACGAAAATTTATTTAAAATTAAATTTATTTATAATAATTACTATTAAATATGAACTAATTCTTCGTATATTTATTTGTTTTTACTTCATTTTTATATTCAAATAAGAATTTATTGTACA